AAACTGAGCACTTCTAAGCACAAATAATATCTTTTGCTTGGCTAAAGTTTTAAAATATTTCCTTTAAATATCAATTTTAGTCTGTTGTAATTATATTTAATATTAGTTTTAATTATAATTTATGGATAATTTGCATGCATCAGTTTGGTTACCATGATATTGGGATCAGACGGCCATGAGTGAGGTATCTTAAGTTATTACTTTTATACACTTCCATAACAGCTTTTAAGCACCTGTAAAAATTAAGCTACGATTTCAAACATCGGTGATGAGATCTGAGTTTGACAATATTAGAGCGGGAGTTGATATAACGCAAAAAGAAGATATAGCTCATTTCAGCTTCACTTTCACATATTAGTCACAGAGTTATGAATGGCCGGAGGAGATCGGCGCAAGCGCACCAGAGACGAGGCGAGGAGGGGGAGGGGGTGACCCGAGGAGCTGTCGCTAAATATAGACGGGCTGCAACAGGTGGTCGCTCCACACCCTTCCACTTCCACCCACACAGCATATGGCCAACACTCGCTGCGTGCCTATTGTGCACTTAACAGGATAAAGAAAGTAAAACTTCTTGTTGATCTACTAGTAAATATGATAAGTAATGATATTACTATTAGCTATTATTATAAACATCATCATCAACAGCCTTTACTAGTCCACTGCTGGAAATAGGCCTCTCCTTAGAAAGGTGCTTTTGGCCTACTATACCACGCTGGCCAGACGGGTTGGTATAGGGTTTGTTTCAAGTTTTCCTTCTCTTTGCAGTGCTGTTGTCCTGCATAGTTTGCTCCCTTAGTCGGCTCTTACGACACCCAAGGGATGAAAAAGGGTGGTGACACTGTATTCTTAATCCGTCACTACAAGGATTATAAACATAAAAAATATGATAATACAAAAAATAACGAAAGTTTTGTTGCGGATAGAAAGTTTTGTTTAAAGTAGCCCCAAACATATTTAAACGACGAGATAAAATAGAATGTAAACAGAATTTACTTTTCTATTAAATCGAAATCAGTGTTCTCTTGTACATCTATCAAGATCATGGTTGTTATTCTAACTGCGAATATTTTGAGATCGAATCCGATTAGTTTTAACAGTCTCCAAAATTAAGAAACGGCTCTAGTCAACTAAAAATTAAAGTCGGCGTTACAACTGTATTTTATGTCATATCAAGTCATATGTTCGAACAAAATAGAAACACTGAAAAGAAACGCTTGATTAGCTAGTATAGAGTTGATCAGAGATGAGATTGTTTTTTTTGACATGTCTTTCTTTACGTTTATATTTTCCTAAATAATAAATGTCTAAAAGACGCTTAAATTCCGACTATTTCATATTTCAATTGATATTATCCTTTTGTTGGCAAGCGTTGCACGTTTCGCGATGAAGACGTGATGATGTCCTCTCACTGATGCAATCGCTAAGCTTTTGTCTCGCATTAACATCTGTTAGATTCAAAACTCTAGACGTTTACGTTCAAGGGGTTAAATGTATTTTACTGTCACTTTACTTGAACAATTACTTCGTAATAAAAACTCTTGGGACACCTAAAATTGATGATTGGTTGGACCTCAGCATAGATAACAGTTATGATCATTGATATAAAATATTAACAAAATCATAAAAAACTAGACAAAACTAGTGGAAAATAACATGGTTAAATTTTTAAGTAATTCATTATACTTAGATGTATATTACATAAATTACACTTCGATAGGCCACTTGATTCAAAAGAATATACATTGTAATTAAAGTTTGCAAAAATTTTATAGGTGATCCATTCGTTAATCTATGCATTAAGGAAATCTTTAAAAAAAGCCGGACAATAGGGAGACTGTTTCCCGATTCGATTTCTTTAAACAAATTAATTTGTTAATATGTGCATCCAAATTAGGACATAGGTAATCTTTGGCATCAAATTCGAAGAATATTGCCATGATTTCTCGCAGTTCTAAAAATACTCGAAAAATATTTTTGCCTCAACGAGTTTCTTAAGTTTCTTCACAAGTAAAGGAAAAGCTTTGTTTCGCCGTAAGATCTAAGGGCACAATTGCCAAATATATATTGCCCTTTTGATTTACCTGCGAAATGATAAAATATACTTAGGACCTAAATGGCTGTATTTTTTTTTACAAAAAAAAAACTCCGACTCTGGGAATAAATCCTGTGTCGCTGGGGACTTTACAAACATACATGCAACGCACACAAAGCAAATCCAGACTCAAAACAACAATTTGAGGAACATACAAAGTGTTATCCCATATGGGGATCGAAAGTACCTTTCTATTGTATCTTTAAATTGTGTTGATTTAAAACCTTAATTTTTAAAGTATTAATTTGATTTAAATTTTACGCCTCCACTCATTCTTGATAAAAATAGTCTTGACAGGTAGAAGTGAATCTATAAGAGCTTCTTTTTCCTTTTGAAAAACGGAATTTTAAAAATATGTAAATATATTTCAAAGGAGCTATTATCACAAATTACCTCAATTCTTTCGACAGACGAGCCGCCATGATATTGTTTTCACTTGATTGTCAAAAATGTTCGTAACTACAGCCGACGGAGTTTTAGCGTGGACACTGCTAGGTTTTTTGATAGTGACCAGTGCGTGATAGACCTCTATCTTATATGAATGACACAGTTTAATCCCCAAAATTAATCTACATAATAAGATGCAGTCGTGCGTGACGACGATGAGGTCTTTATTTTTCTTAATGCGCGCATCGCCGCCGTTCGGATATCCGTCCAAGCTGATGATTGATCAGCGATCTGTCTCCTTAAGGACTGCGGAAACGGAAAGGGATGTTGCAATAGTTTTGTTTTCAAAAATATCTCAGCTCGACTATGCTACTATTAAGCGGTGAATAGACGGAACTCTTTACTATTTGTTGTTTCAGGACTAAATGTTTTCTATTGTTATACACTTTTCAAGTGCGAGGGGTTATAGAAATAACAAGAATGTATATGATCGCTTTAAAACAAGTTTCAAACAGTATAATTTATCGTTTATTTTCGAAGGTAGTTTTAAGAACCAGTCGATACTAATTATGTATTGAAATTAGGATCTTGTTCTGATTGCCAGATATCAAATTGCAACATTGAATGCTGTAGTTATTATAGCTGGTGCCAGTTATAATAAAATGGTTAAGCCGAGTGTAGAGCAAGTTTTCTCGGAAGAGGCGCGGGCGTCTGGTACCACAGTTAGCGTGTTGTAAGTGTAACTAAAGTATGTACACACCGTACACACTACACACACCAACGAAAACACTCTCATATCAAATTATTATGCGCACAACTAAAAATACAGATCCTGTGATACAAATCCAATAATGTGTATAAAACGAATACCTTTAGGCAATAAATAAAGAAATAAGAAATCTCTGAAAAAATTGGTACATTTGTATTCAATTTTCGATAATACTATAGATACTTGTACCAAACACAAAAAGAGCACTAAAGTAACTTTAATGCCAAGTATAGTCTTACGAATAAATTATTTCTACCGATGTTAATCAAAGTAAAAACAAGTCTGGGTGAAATCTAAACTTGTCATCAATCATAATTTGCCGCGCGCGAGTTGTTGGCCGGTGTCTCGACGACCCTGAACATGCTACTATATTTAGACGAGTGCAGCCCTTTAATGCGACCGGACTATGGTTGCTTGCCCAAAGAAATGCAGTGAAATTATCATTAAATTATTTTTATTTTAACTAGGGTTTTCACTTATCTAAAAAATGTGTTTTTATTTTTTGTTTAGTTGTTTTTATTTCTATTTCGTTAAGGACTTGAATTGAATTAACGAAATGAATTGCGCACACGAGTAGACTTTATGTCTTAAAGAAATAAATACACTGTTTAATTAAGATATGTATTAGATTATATACGAAATAGAATATTACAGTTGAAACAAATCTTATTTTACAAATTAGGGTCAGCAGTCTCATCGCTAATAGCAATCTCTGTCAGACAAACTATTTATTACCTAATTACATTAATCATTTTCTAAAATAATCATATTCATTCATAACAGACAACATTTGAGCTTTGCAAGGATAAATGTCTAAGATGACCTGTTTTAATTGTAATTTGTTATTGGAAGTACCATTTTATTGTATTAGTAGGGAAATATAGAAATAAGAATCGTCCAGTAACCCTATCGCGAGAACAATAACTCACGCGATATTTGCACTAAGCCCAAGGCAAAAGGCGACGCCATCCCCGTTAAAAAATCGCCCTCACTCCTTCTATTCGTATCATATCGTGCCATGTGTGTAATTTACTGCGAAATCAACTCTCAAACGGTTGTTCAAAGAAACGTTTTAAAAATTCCTATAAAGTGTAACTTTGTTAAATAATTCTTGGAAGTGATTGAATATGAATGAACACTCTGTGGAAATAGCGAAGGAAGGAAGAAAATACATTATTTGTATATTGTTGAATATTCAAATGACTCCATTCGGAAACAACATTGTTATATTTTTGCAAAGTTCATAATACTTTTTTTTGTCTATGAACTGTTGATGGTTTATAAGAGTTAAGAAAAACCTATGTTGAAACTATAATGTTTTGGAAATGTTTATTAAGACACCTTTGATTATTTTTATTTTGACCCACTTTAAGGGCATTATATAATATAACCCAGGTTATATTCAAACCCTTGGACTAACTACTGATTAACCTGCTTATAGAAAACTTGAAACGGTGAATTTGAATTTCAGATTTCGATGAATAAATGGTTGTATAAAATAAATAAACCCTTTCCGACTTGAATAAAATTTACATTTATTTACATTAAAGAATACTATGAAAAGTTACATGTGCTATCAATTTTTTTTATTATACTAAAATTTTGAAATTGTTATTTAATTAATAAGAATTGTAATAAGCATTGCCAAAGAGAGATAAATAATAAATCATATTTATGTTATGATTTATGAGTTTTTTTACCTTCTCTCATTACTTTTCCTTATGTGAGTTTATAATTCACTCACACATTTTTTCAGTGTTCGACCTTCGCAGTAGGATCTTTATATCCCAATTGCTCGTCGGGAACGTGGGGCCAAAATGTAGGCCTATTCACAGGATCCAATGCAAGATCTGGGAACATATCGTAGTACATTTCCATTGTCATTTCGTTAAACTTCGGCAATGCATGTATCCTTTTGAGTTCCTTCTTAGACCTATAGGAAAACATAAATAATTAATAATCAAATTACTATGCATTTTATATTTTTGATTTATTTTTGATAAATAACTTGAATTTGCAAAATGTGTTTTAAGGTCATAAGGTTAAGAATTCTATTCAAAACTTATTTGCTAATTTGCTAAAGTAGATTGGCATATATTTATAGCAAGTCAGGATAGAAATACGGGGTGTCAAGCCATTTTCAGGACTAGGAGAAATTCAAGACTACTAAGAAATTAAAAAGCTTTGTTTAAGGTTTAAGATTTTCAAGTCATTGTAAACATTCAAAAATTTGATTATGTCGTCCATCCAAAATTAGTGCTCATAAACTGATAAAAAAACAATCGAAAACGTACTTCATAATAATAGCTTGTATATCATCACAATATTTTTTTATTTCAGGCTGTAAAGCTTTCCATTGTTTATCCACTTCCGCTGAAAGCGTATCAGCTGGATACGGTACTTTTAAACTATTGTACTCTGACATGAATTTATCGACCAGCGCCGCGTCGGGAATCCCTTTTTTAAATTCATCCCAGTTGATTTTTGGCAGTGTCGGAGGATTTGCATGCACTCTAAAAAAGAACAAAATGATTGAATTGATAATGTCTAAAGATCACGTTACAATATTACAATGTTTCTTAACATGTTTGCTAGGAGTGGCTGTTTGTTTCTAATACTCGTTTCTAAGTCATAAAAGGTAACTTTACCTGCGCAAATACCCATCGTTCTTGGCCTTAAGCGCGAAAAAAGACACCTTTTGTTCAGGCGGCACTAACTTCACAAACTTAGCCCAGTCAATGGCACTTTTACTAATATTTTTAGTCATTTTATCGACGATAGACAAATAAAATTTTGCTAAATATTGAGGTTTGCGGATTTAAACGCAGAAATTGACAAAAGTAATTGTCAATTATAAAGAAATTGACAGTCGTGTTCGCCTCGAAACGAAAGCTGGGTACGTCTTGAATAAAAAGTTTTAAATCGAATTATATTTTTTTGTCAAAATTCGCGGTATTGAGAGAAATGTTGTAACTAATTGACTTACTAGGGTTTAATGCTGCTTTAACGATTAGATAGTACAATAAGCATTTTAAGCTTTTGAAGCTGTTCATCGGTCTGTTTCGTAAAGGCTGTCTCCACTATGAGGCCTATGTCCAGCAGTGGACATAGGCCTCATAGTGGAGACTTCCTTTAATCACAAACCTACGAACTTTTGTCTTTTACACTAAATGGTCCTATCTTACCTACTTCTGTCTATATTACATGTATATCGTCATCTGTTAAATACCAATTTATGTATGTAAGTATGTATGAGATTATATCAGATTTGCCTACCTATTTAGTACTGAGAATGCAAAGATACACATATGTTTAGAATTGTACTTCTCCCGAGCTCGTTTCTTGCGGCTCGATCAGTGCTCATACTGTCTCGTAGTAAATACAAGTTTTTAAAATTAAAATTTATATTAAATTGTCATTTTTTAAACGCTCTGAGCGGATGGAAACCGAAAAATGTGTAACAAAACTTTTTTCGACACTATAGCGAACGTCTACCAAAAAGTGAAAGGAACTTCGTTCCGACCGGGGATCCATAGACCCCCCCAAGCCGTTTTATATTTCACCGAGGATATTCAGATGTAAGAAACTAAGAAACAAAGTGAATTTACAGATCATATAACATTTCCATTATTACATCAGGTTGTTTTATCACATTGATAAGATAGAGTAGTAGTCGTATATTGTTATTTTCACGGTTATTCGCACTTCTTATCACTTTTTAAAATTAATCAGTGATACGATGCAAATGATAGTAGGCAAATGTTATATTTTTAATGTAATTACTAATTTAAGGAATCATGTATAAAGTATGATTTTATCGAATATATCGCAGCTTTGATTCGCATTTATTGAGTCATCCAGGGAAGTATTGGATGATAACGGTATAGCACTGCTATTTGTTCACAAATAACAGTGCCATATCCCTATATAGTCTGTGAGATAGTGTAAAATAGTTGCAGTCGGTAAAAATAATCATAATAATAATAATAGGCAGCTGGATTATTGGTGTGTTGCAGGAAACTATCTCTATACGGTATGTTTTGATGAGTTTCTATCTTTGGAACTCGCAGATTGCGAACCGGTAGCTTGTTCCCTGTGCCCTGAGTTGATACCGGTGGGTCATTTTCATATTATTAATTTTGTTTATATATTTTCATTACTCTGTACATGTAATTTATATATATTATCTAAGTTGAATGCAGAGAATATTAATAACAACAACTTGAAACATCTCGCAGTCGATCCAAAACTAAACAGATATTCTAAACTCTTGATAAACATACTTTTATTGTCCTACATTCATACGTATCATATAGACACCGATATACAGAATAAATGATTATGCTTACATTTGTCGTGGATGGAAATCGAACCAACGACCTCTGACTCAGCAATCAGGAGCACTACACTAGTGGTTACACTACATCAGTATTGGTGGCCTGTTCTGGTCAATGTTAATTTACTTTGCGGCGACTTATTTAAACTAAGGGTTTATTGCTTCTATCCTTTGGTACCACCCCAACATTTAAACCAACAAATCGTCACGCCGTTTCAATTACATGACAATAATGTCGGGTGGTGTCAGATCGTGGATCGTATCCGGCGGATATTAGCCGTAACGACGCTCGCCGGGCCGGGCTTCAGACGCGCCGAAATCTGACGACACATTTACAGTATCGTGCACTGGCGATTCGATGAACGGGAACATTCATAGCTAACGCAACTTAACCTTAACTTCTTATAGATACGTTATTTTTCCCTCGCATGTAGAAAATAACTTTTCTCCCCATTTCCGGCGTATAATCTAGTTGATGGCTACAGAAAGTGGTAACTGATTTCATCTGTATTTATAGTTAAGATAAATTAAAAGATGTTTAAAGTTTGATGGTACAGAGGTAGTGTGAGTGTCGAACTGTATTTGTGTCTTACACCGAACAATAGATGACTCTATTAAATTGGTTAAAAGATGTGAGTCTGTTTATTAGTTTTCATTTGAATTTGTTTTCACTTATAAACTAGACTAAACAAACGTGTACGTATACAAGCGGTTTTATTCAACCCGAGAAGATAATTTATTAGGTCGCTAGCTCTACCATATCGATCGTATTTTCGGGATGACACTGCAATGTTTTACTTGAAAAAGGCCAAAAACCATTTTAAAACTATCAGTGAGACAATTGAGAGCAAGGAATACTTTTAGTAATATAGTAGAATTTGAATAGGAATTAGCAAGAGTAACACGAATTCGTGTTGGCTATCAAGTCTATTATAAAAATTATTAATTATGAGACTTCTTTTGACAATTAACAATAATTAAAAAAACCGTGTGGAGACGTATTAAGAATGCGGAGTGTCACCCCTATAGCAAACTACGCAGGACTGCAAAGAGAAGAAAAACTTGAAACAAACCCTGTACCAACCAGTCTGTCTGGCCAGCATGGTATAGTAGGCCAAATCTTCATTCTAAGGAGAGGTCTATGTCCAGCAGTGGACTAGTAAGGGTTTTGATATGATGTAAAAATATATTTACTTTTTAACATGTTAAAATTGTTTTTTGTTAGATGGCTCGGATTACAAAACAAAAGGGTTACAAAAAACCATTTGTTTTGTAATCTGAGTTGGGTAGTATTATCTGTACATAGTATAAAATGAAGTTGCTTTTTTTCTTGTACGCTTAGATCCGCCGTTTGCACCGTTTGCCGTTATTACCAATAGAAAGAGTGATTCAAGAGGAGAGTTTATATGTATAAAACATGAAAATCATAGTAGAGGAAATCTGAAAATTAAAAAAAATTGAAATAATAAGTCGTAAAAAACATGATTTTGTGCGCTTACTGTGCAAACTCTCACTAAACCTTACGAGATAGATCGAATAAATGTACTACTGAATTTGTATATCTTAAAAGCATGTACAAAAAAGTCCGCAATGGTATATGTCTATCTCCTAAGGATAATCCACAGTTACCATTTTTATCTTATATATATTATATTACAGAAAATAAAGGGTATTTTACGAATCTATTTTGAACAATACAGTTTCATTCCTTATCCAAATAAAATACGTTAGGTACGTTGTGCATTTAATGCAGATCAAAATATTATTTTACGGCCTATCATTAAAATGAATTTCTTAGTATATATCAGAGATTAAAATGCGGGGCAAAGCGGCCGTCGTCCGTACGTCCGTCCCGGGTGGCAGCGGCCACCATGAGCGGAGTGGGCCTATAAAGATTGCATATAAAGATGTCCTGTAGTATAGTCTTATCATAATAATAGTATAATTAGTTACTCCACACTGACACTACATTGGTAGTACTCGTAGTGCACCCGTGCGAAGCAGGGGTGGATGCTGGTATTTTATAAGATAGAAAGAGTAAGCGAATAGGTCCCAAGGTGTATAACTGGTTCGAAAGCCTCATCGAAAGCAGTTTGATGATAAGACCATTTTTTTTAAGTTTATTGCGTGTGAAAGAGACAGCGATAAGACAAGTCGAATATTAGAGATAGACCCTTGCGGTTACCGAAACCTTAAAAAGGCATGAGATACGTGTTGTTTCTAAAGAACAGAAAATAATATAAAAGACATATTTCTCTAAGGTGTCAAGTTTTGTGTTGTTATATTATGATATCTATATCTTTTGATATTTGAAATAATCTAACTTTGAGGTTAAATACCTATTAGAAATTTGTATGTCTATTGATGCGTCTATTTTGGGGCTAATTGTCTTTGCAGAAGATGCAAGGACAATTAAGGATGTTTTGAGACGACAACAAATTTAACATAAATATATGTTTTATTACAAGTGTATTTTTCTTTTTTTACAGTCCCAGCACTATGAAGCTGGAGTGGGCTGAAACCGAGTCCGACTACGGACTGGAGGAGGCTGCTTTCTACGAAGGTCCCCCTGTGCCTGCACCACCGCCTACCAAACACGTCTCATTCAGCCTGAGACTCGATCTGGTCAGTACACGCACTCACATTAACCAATAACCACTTTTTTGCAGTTATTCCGATTTAATGATCTAGACTTGCCAAGCTTGTACAAGCTTGCCAAGCTATGAAAAACCCGTTACGCTTGATCCAGAACTTGTACTCTGTAGCGTTGTCATATACCTCTTCAATGTCCGTGTATAAATGAAGTGCCCTTCTGAGAATTTAATTTGAAGTAGTAATTCAGGTTTATTTCTGTTGTGAGGAGAAAATTAGGGTGAAACTAAGAAAGATTGATCCTGAACGTATTGTGATAACCATTTTAAACGTACCTTTTTATTTATCTAAGGTTCAATAATAATTACTTACAAATAAAAACAATAAAATATAATATACATACAGGTAAACACCACTTGTTTATATTATGCCAATCAAAGAAATGCTATATTTATTTGATTTTTTAAATTATTAGTAAAAGTTGTTTTGAAATTTACAAAGTATAATTAAGTTTCTTATGATTTGTTTATAACTTTTATTTTAGGTAAGCACTGAAGCAATCACGTTACATACATAGTTGCGTAGGGCGATTTAATGTAGGTCTTGTTTTTAAATTTGTTTCTAGTTTATTGGATTCTGATTCATCATCACGTAAGCACGTAACGCATACTGAACTCAATAAAAGTTAAACAAAAACATGTTTTACATATACTGTGCTATATATGTGTACCAGTCATGTATGTGTAGCATCATTCCTAGTCTTGTAATTATGTTTTTAATGCTTTTGCACTTGAAACGTGTAACTCCAAACACTAGCTAATATGCAATTAACTTGTGTTAAAGATAAACTTCTCAAAACCTATAAACTTCTTTTCACTTTTTTCAAGGAGCCTTTTATTGTAAATCGCTCCATAATTTATTAATCTGACTGAGATTTTTCAAGCTTTTAAAAATAGTTATACTGATTTTTAAAGTACTTAGATAAAGTGTTTTTAAATTAAGTCAAGTTTATCATATTTTTTCTGTAATACGAGACATTTATATTAGTTTTAAAATTATTTTACATTCATCAATCATCATCAACAGCCTTTAATAGCCGACTGCTGGAAATAGGCCTCTCCTTAGAAAGGAGGTTTTGGCCTACTATACCACGCTGGCCAGACGGGTTGGTATAGATTTGTTGTTGGCCTGAAATGATCATGGCATTGCTAGTCTTAATCTTATCGATTAAAAAGAAGAGATATTGCGATACAAACTTTATAGTACAATAATATTATTGTAAACACTATAGCTTGACGAGAATACTAATTATATATACGTTTTAAAAAGTAACATATATTACTATTTATCTTTTAAAGGGGTCACACATTTGGCAGTACTCGTAGTTACATTTTCTCGTCTAGTTTCTGTTAGTCAATGGTATTTACACTGCTGCTTACATGTTGACTTTCCTACTAATAATGATCTTCTTGTCTATGTTTAGCAGTACTTTCTTATTTGCATTTCCGAGACACGCTTTAATGAGCTTTGTATGTACCAAGCAACACAACAATAATTTCTTTAAACACAGTAGCGTTTCTGCAATTACATAGGCGTCGAAACTATATTGCCAGGCCTCGGGATATTGTAATTTATATAATTAAAAACTGTATTGGAGAACAATTTGTGTGTTATTTATTTAATACCATGTTTTAGTTGCACGGTTGAATCTGGTTTGTTACTTAGTAGATTTAAAGTAAATTTCTTCGTTTTTACGCATATATGTAGTGTTTGTGTGTTGTTTGGGCATGTTTTCTTAAAAGCAAGATACATAGTGAAGAAGGATAGGGAGCATACTACGCAACTACGAACGCAGGGAGAAGGAAAACTTGACACAAACCCTATACCAACCCGTCTGGCCAGCGTGGTATAGTAGGCCAAAACCTCATTTCTAAGGAGAGGCCTATGTCCAGCAGTGGACTATTAAAGGCTGTTGATGTTGATGTGATGTGACTCAATTTCTTGTTAAATCGTTAATGATTTAGCACGATATTTCCAGTTATATGTAGTTATAAAAATGTTGAGGAATTCTGTTTTTTTCCATAAAGTAAATTGTCAATTAATTTTTTCTTTATATTTCATTATTTAAAATCCTTGTAAGAGTAGACAAAGTGGTGTCGTCTTTAAAACCGCCCCGGATGTGTCGGTTCGGTCCAGCAGAGCGTAAAGTCCGTGATCAACTTGCACTAACTGTCGTCCTTTTTGATATCCCTCAGTCCACCTATTGTCATTATATTATTATGTAGGTACATACAAAAGCAATCACATGACCTTAAATTGACGACGGCTTGAATATAGATTGTTTTGTGATTTGAAGATAGATTTGTAGGTTTAATTTTCTATTACAGTATTCAGGTTTTAGTATTAAGATTTAATATATCAAACCAAGTAGTTTCACCTACTCTTACGCATTACGCTTTGTAGATATAATCATCACAATAATCAATTTGCCTTTTTAAAAATTTTCAAATTTTTTTTGCCATACTTGGCAATATAATAGTTTCAGTGCTAGAATGGATAGGGCGACAGAGCTAGGGTAAGAGTATGCAAGTCTCATTTGTGTGAAAGAGACTGAGATTACATTAGGTACTACACAGTTAACACATCTCTGTCTACCCCTTGGCATACAAAGTCGTAAGTGTATGTATCTACAATGCCTCGAAGAGACCAGGGCTGCGTATTCGATGTCTGTCCCGCAGTTGTAGAGGCTTCCAGAACAGGGATATGAACAACATTGTAGGTTATTTGAATATTAGATCACTTCCCAAGGGTGCGACTAACGGCTGCTTTAGATAGATAAGTGGATCTAGTACCCAACCTACAACTTTCTTCTGTTAACTTTCTGTGTGCTTATCCCCAATAAGTGAACTCATTTGGTCGTAGGCTTTTACACAGACTAAGTGAACCTTTTCATTTTACGGACATCGTGTTATTTCTGGGTTTTCACTAAAATTGGCAATTAAAAATAGAATTAAATATGAACATAGAATGCAATACTTATAAATATCAAAGAATTCAGAAGACAAACCGAGGTATTTTAAAAAAATGAATGAATTTGATTATGAAAAAATTTATTTATTAGGGACTATTTATTAGGTACTTCATACCTCATAAAAGTTACCATTCAATCCTGTCAGTTGCACTTTTTTTTAACTCTTACATATTTTTATACACAAACAAATATATAGAGCCAATGACGTATTTTGGAGCTAATTTAAAGCAAAGTTACTTGTTTGTAAAGACGATTAAATAGTTTTTGCTAGATATAACTCTGCAAAAACAATGGTAAAATCATTATTTTATATATACGCAAAGCTTTAGAGTGTACGGTAAAAATCAATCAACGACTCACCTAAAGGAGTATCGAAAACAAACTCTTATTTCAAAGATCCCGCTCTTTTTATTTTTTTATTTTTAACTTGTCCGTGACACTGACGCTAAGCTGCACTAATGAGTTTCGACATTAGTTAACTACGTCGAAAAACTCTTGAAGCTTTTTACGAATGGGTTACAGAGATTAGTATTACTTTTTAATGATTACTGCAGGGGGATCGAGACTTCGGGTGACGAATTGGTTGAAGATAATTATACGGAACGTAAATAAAATTAGAATAATATTTTTGAGATCTAATAATAAAAATGATGATATTGAATGTTCTTACAGATTAAAATATAGACGTATTATTAGCAGGTATATCACGGTTTAGTCGATTTTCCTAAATAAACTTATGCAATCGAACTGGTATATTATCTATAGGTACAATTATCAAGATGTACAAAATACACAACTTGGAGTTTGTTTTCATATTTTCCAATAAAACAGATGTAATAGTGGAACACACTAGATTATAATCTTATATCTATAAAAGAAGAGATTGACAGACTGATTCACTGACTGATCGATCAACGCACAGCTGAAACCGCTGGCTTTTGCAGAAATGTTCCGTAGGTGTGCACTTATAAAGGATTTTTAAAAAACCACCCCTGGGTGCTAAATGGGGGTTAGAATGTTTTATGAAACTACTTTATTTTTGGTAGTAGCGTTTTCAAACTTACAATAAATACTTTTTATTAAAAGTAATAAAAAGCTTTTCGAAATTATAATGGTAATTTTGAAAAAAAAAGGGGTCCAAGTTTGTACGGGGAACTATTTTTTTTAACTTATCGATTCCAAACTCAATATAATAATATTCTATTATTATAGTATTAGTATTATGGTAGTATTAGTATAAAAAAAAACATAATTAGACACGCCAAAACGGCTTTCTGGATCTGGACGAGGTTTGGCTCATAGATAGATTATAGTCTAGAATAACACAGAGGCTACTATTTATTGACAAAATTGGCATTTACGCGAGCGAAGCCGCCGGCAAAAGCTAGTATTGTATAAATATTAATGAGCTTAATGACAATGTAATATAACCCAAAAATTAAAATTAAAACATAAATGATGCATATGATTTATTTCACCTTTGAATATTACAAATCATGGTAACGTACAATAAATATGAAGGCGTCATCTCTTGTGTTGATTTTTATAATTTAGTCACTGCACATATATTATAACAGTAACTATCATTAAATCAAATGAAGGCAGGCTCATTAATAATGGTAGGGGTGAGATGAAGGAGCCGTCAAGTGTTATGACGTTCACACCTTCATTCAATGGTGGTGAGGCTATAAACAATAATCTTGGACGTGATTTACGTTCACTTGTCGACACCCAACTTTTTTCAAGGGAAAATTATCCATTCTGCCTCTGTATATTAAACAAAATAGATTCTGTTATATTGTTCTGATTCTGTAAAAGTGGCCAGTTTTGTTTTATTAGTTTGCCCGATCATAGTCGGATACCAAATTTATCTAAGATCATAATTTTGGTAATATGTAATCAGGGTAGTAGGTGTATGCAGGTTTTTCTGTAAGACACACTCGTACCTAAGTACGTTGACGTATTTTTATTAATTTTATTAGTGTTTTTCTTTAATAAAATC